TCATTGAAGTTAGGCGTTGAGGGAATAGAAAAGGGGTTAGAAAAGTTAAGAGGAATGAAGGTTGTGTGAAAGGAGAAGAAAACTATACCTAACCTAGTAACCTAGGTAATACATTTTTCTTATAAATCTCTTTTGGGCTATAGCCTAACCTAGTGACGGTTGGATTTGCCTTTATGTATGTGAATCCACCCTTGATGTTAGTTATACGGCAAGTCATTTTGTCTTTCTAAACGTTTGTTAGTCACTCTTAGCTAGTCAAGAGAGAGAAATAAGTTTTGCTAAACTTTGGTTTACTTTCTCACTTTTCCTTAAATAATTCAGTTTCATGGAGTAAATAATTTAATATTCAATATTAGTTAATACTAGAGAGCCTTTGTTGGAGTAGCATTATTGAAGTAGAGCTAGTTATAAACACTTTTGTATTATTAGGAGTCAAATTTAACCAAACTTTTGGCTAATTTCGCAAGACATCTATATATCTTCAATTTTAACACGACAAGTCTTGTTAGATGGAACAACATTGCACATATATGATATGGGTTATGTACTTGCTACGTGGTGTGGGCCTAGGTGGGGTTCATCATGCTGCAAGAAATCCAAAGTCAACCCATCCTCGACACCAAAACCCAAGCACCCATTCAGAAGGAACCCATAAGTCACAACCATCTACCCATTAAGAAGGCAATCTTCATTTTAATATGAAGATTTGAAAACTCCTTTCCATTTAATAAAAAAACGATATATTATTTATACTAAATAGTGTTGGAGTGGGTTAAGTTTCACAATCAAAGACGGAGTTAGAATTTTATAACAATAGAGTCATAATAAGTAAGCATTCCAAAAATTGATCACACTTTCATTTATATTGTGCACGATATATTCTCTTATTAAAAAAGGTGTACAAATATTCCAAAAAAAATCGTATTATACACCAATATCATGAGTTAAACACACGGCAAAGAAGAACAGGGGAGATCTTTCGTCAAAGGTGAAAACAATCCTTAATGAAAGTAAGCAAGTTGTACACTCTTACTTAGTTCTTACAATATTCAAAATGAGATTAACACTAGGATCAAATAAATTATAAAAAAAATTAGGTCGAATATTGTGTTTAATTGAGATTTTATTTTGAGCTCAAGAAGAAGAAAGATAGAGGAATCAAAGAAGAAAATAGAAGGAAGAAATAGCTGTTTTCTATAAAGGGGAGATCGGCATGAGATGAGCTAGTTGGGAGTGGAGTCGGCTAGGGAAAAAAAACCTAATGCTCACCTCCAATATTACTTTTCTGAACTAATTATAGGATGAAGAGGAAAAAACAAAGGCGGAAATATTGAGTTATTAGGGTCAAGTGCATCCAATGCACCCACTGTAGCTTTGCTACTGTTCATAATGGGTAAAATTGGGAAAAAGTGAATCGGGCTAACAGAGTAAAGAGAAACAATACAATTTGATCTAATGTCACAATAAAAACAAGACCATCCATGAACATTACATTAACATTATGATTTTATCAAGAGATATTCTGTTACAATATATATGCTGAAAGCATGATTGAATCAAACACTTACATGGAAATATTCTATCATAGATGGTATCCAAGCTAATGAACAATAGGCGGCATCTCCATCTGGGAAAATTGCTATTAGGTCAGATCTCATAATTTTAAGTTAAACACAAAATAATGAATAGATACATCTGCTTCTCAATAATATCATAACCTTAAAATTGTCACCAAATAAAATGACTGATAGTGCCATTGTAATTATAGGTGAAGAAGTAAACTTACTGTTACTCAATTTAAGTTATTAAAGGTCAATTAAAATGAACAAACCCACGTTGGAACGCAAACACTTAAAGCATAATGATATGAATCAAATCGAAACACAGGTTCTTGAAATGGTCTATTATATTTTTTAGATCTATGACATTGTGAAAGACAATATTATACCACAAACTAGTGACTCCCATTGGAAGTAAAAACTTTTTATCTAAAATCGAGATTCTTAATTCATGAAAAATCAACGAAGCTAATAATATGACATAGACTTTATGTATGACTTCCATGAACTATACATTGTCGAGAAGAATCTTCATCCTATTTCGAATTTATTCCCCAATTATCTCAAACAGATTTGACAATCATAAACACTTATGCTTTTTAAATTGACATTGTCAACTAAATTTTCTTTTACAATGTACTCGTAACGCTACAAAACAAGTTACGTTATCACACAACTAAACATCGAGCTCACCATAAATATATTATTGTTTTCCAACCATATGGATCAAATTATACCTCATTTAATTAAGTTGAGACAAATATCAATAGACAAAAGGATAGTTCGTAGCCCTAGCAAATCTTATTCTTGCTCTCTAATATTGAAAAGAAAATGATTAGTAATATTACTAGTTAATAATATGCTTAAAAGTGTAGATGTGGCTTGTGATTTTACGTAGTTGAGAAATCTATACAGACAAAAGTGGTGGCTTCTTGTTATTTGACATGGACGGTTGGATATGGGAAAGCAAGGAGGGACGATGTGGAAAAGCCAAACACCTAGCACAATCATACACGCTCACTGGTCGGCTGGCCTTAAAGCCCGGAACACATCTGATGAAACCTTATCTCCAACACCACCCCCCACCCTTACAGATTGCTCTCATCACATCCATTCCATGATTGCGATGCCAATTTCTTTTTAGTTTCTACTCAACAGTCCTTTTTAGGTCTTCTGAGTTCTGGCTTCATCTCCAAAATTAAACCACAATTATTTTCTTCCATTAGAATCGATTCAAATGCCCCATCATGCAAAATCATTGGTGGGGTCTCCTTGTCTATCCATTGCCGCCTTTCCACTAGTTCACACTTGCTAATAGGAACGAGAATAATTTGGTTCACAATCCTTAATTATAACGGATATTGTTTATCCACGTGTCACACATTATTTATGTACTTAATTCTTACAAAACACGGCATGAATTGTCCCTGAATAGACAATAACTATACAACACAACAACATGCAAATTTGTGCGTCATAACATTACATGATTCGTTTCACAATTAGATTAGAGTAATATTAGCTAATCTAGGGATTCTTTGTCGTTTGTAACCCTGCTCTTTTTCCTTTACTTTGAAATTTAAACCTTGAAGTGTAAGTTAATGATGATGGATTAAGGAATAAATCTGTGTAATCTTAATTACCCAATTATTCCCAATCATCTTTTATACCAATTATATTCTTTTTATTGGCAACACTGTTTCAAAGTCAATGTATCTGTATCATCTCAACCGCACTAGAAACTTGTAAATGAAGGATACCTAGCCAGGATAACGATAATCCTATCTCTAATCTTTATGCCATCTAACTAACTTTCGTTATTCATGTTATGTCCATGTCATGAAGAACTATTTTCGTGAACAAAGTCACTGTTTATTAGTGCTAAACCAAAGAAAAGAGAAACAAGAACAAAAAAAAGGTGCATCGATCACCCTGACGGTTACATCTCATCAAAAGACTATATGAGAGTTTTAATCATAACTCGCACAAAAGGTGCAATGAATTTGTAGATTCGTCGGTGGATTAATCGTACAAATGGCATCATTTAATTTCCATCACTCCCTAAAGATGCTCTTAAAGTTTCTACCTAAAAAGTCAGATAGCTCGGCAAGGTGATAATTAACATGTAATAATTGGTTTTTCCGTTAAACTTCCATTTTTGTTAATTAGTTTAAGGTAAGTGGTTGAATTATCGAATAAGTATTCAAAATAAAATTCGAAGAAACAACCAAACTTTCATCGTTGCCAAGAAAAAACCCTAGCTAAAAAGATTTGGTTAGTATGTAAAAGTCTATACGTTGAGAGTGAAAACTTAAGTCGAGAAAGAAAGGATTTTACATGTGTTTAGATGTAAGTTGGACTACTTATATAGCTAATTAATTTTATAGTGAAACTACTCCTCATATTGTAGTTAGTTTCATGAAGAAATCCTAGCCTTCTACAATCTACATGCAGACATAGGATTGTGGTATTCAGAAAGGTATTTCGGTGGCCTGCGAAGTCTACTCTACATGCAGGTTAACACAATGGATTTGGTCTTCATGAGACTCTAATAAATGTTGTCTCCGTTAGATTGCTTCATTAAATTCATCACACACAAAAAAAAAAAAAAAAAAAAAAAAAAAAACAGAAACTACAAAGATTATAAAACAGAGATAAAAAATAATATTAATAAATTAAATTTGAAACTTCTTCTTATAAATAAAGGCATATATCATCAAACTAATAAATATATATCTCATGTGTTATGTGAACAACTGTCAACTATACATATATGAATCATACGCAATAATTGTGGACAGTTTTTTTTCACACTAAATCTATTGTGTATTAACGTAAAAGTGATTGGAAGTATATACGTACCTAAAGAATCCTCTCTCTCTCTCTCTCTCTCTCAAGTACTCTCCAAAAACTGTACAATAATAGTTTTTCGTATAATATAAAGTGAAAATCCAGTAGATCAAAAAGTGGAAAGAAAAAAGGTAAAAAGTGCCGAATCATCATTCTCTTCATCACTCTTTATTATGCGTTCTTGTGTACACCCACATTCCATGTGGTTCCACGCATGCTTACACACATACACGCACACACAGAGACTAGCTTAATTAGCTTCATATGCCTTCATGCCTTCTACACACATCAATTGTATAGAGAGATATATATAGACATTAGAGTAGTAGAGAATTTGTTTGTGATATTAGTCAACCTATGAGGACAAAGAGACATGGGGTCGATCGAATTGTTATAATTCCACAAAACCATATTCGTCATTCACTTTCCTTCCTTCCTTTGTTTAAATAATCCGATCCCCACATCCCTACTACTCCAACTCCCTCCTTAAAAAAAATTACCATCTACTTTTGCCTCCACACTCGCACCTTTTTATAAATATTTTTGTGATTAATTTGCTACTCCATAACAAAATTTAGTAATTTTAGAGAGATGGGTTTTGATCATGAAGCTTGTAACACTGGCCTTGGACTCAGCCTAGGTTGTCAAGCTAATCCAGATCATCATACAAATTTGCAGGCTTTCGATCTCGATCACCAAAAGAAGAAGAAAATACAGTTGAAATACGATCACCTATTGCCGGCTCTAACCCTAGGTCCATCATCCGGGGATTCGAAGATTGAGGCCGCCGAATCAGATGATCATTTGCACCAAGTAGTACATGTGCAAGCACAAGAACAGGTCTCTTCTCCCTGCAGCGGCGCCGTTTCGTCGTTCTCCAACTCATCTAGTTTCAAGAGGGACAGAGATATGGGTGTTGAAGAGATAGAGGGAGAAGAAGAGAGAGTAGTGAATATCACTACTTACTTCATCAAGAGTAAGCGATGAATTATATGATCAAGATCATGAGGGCAGTCCCAGAAAGAAACTCAGACTTACAAAAGAACAATCTTCCACTTTAGAAGACAGCTTCAGAGAACACACTACTCTCATTCCAGTAATTATATTTTTCCATAAGCCATCTTTGTTTATTTATTTGTCTTCACGTTATTATAAGCTTGTGTTTAATTAGATTATCGTTCATTAACAAATTAAAGTTTTTCTTTTTATTTTTATTTTTTTCTTGGATAAATCAGAAACAAAAGCAAGAACTAGCAAGAAAGCTAAATCTACGCCCGCGACAAGTTGAAGTCTGGTTCCAAAACAGGAGGGCCAGGTACACTATTTTTAATTTAATTTACAAAATGTTCTAAGTATTATATTCTGTGAGAGATCTTCAGTTCAGCTTACATGAACATCGAGTTCAAGACTTAATTATTCTTATTATTTGTATTCAAAAATTTCAGGATGTCCATGTTTGATGCTTGCTCATATGAGAGTCTCCAAAAATATAATATTCTTAATTTATTACAATTTTGTAGGACCAAGCTGAAGCAAACAGAAGCAGATTTCGAGTTGTTGAAGCAATGTTGTGAAACATTGAAAGAAGAGAACAGAAGGCTACACAAGGAGCTGCAAGAGCTCAAATCAATGAAACAAACAGCAACAGCAGCAGCACCCTTTTACATGCAGTTTCCAACTGCCACTCTCACCATGTGTCCCTCCTGTGAGAAAATCTGCAACGGCGGCGATCATCATAATCATAATCATAACAACGGGTCATCGACGAGTCCATTCTTAATCGGATCGAATAAGACTCACTTGATCTTCAACCCCTACAGTACTCATCCATCTACAGCTTGCTAGTCTGCTGCCAAATTAATTAAGGCCAGATTATCACTAGCTAGCCTTTTTATTATGAAGCAACATGCATAGTTCGAATTAATTTGTACAGGATGAAATTTAACTGTAGAGGTTAATTCATTTCTGTCTCTTATTTACGAATATTAATTTGTACATATATATAATTCTGCGTTTTTAGCTAGTCATCTCATCATGTGAAGGATCGTTATTTTTTTGCGTCTTTTCCAATGACAAATCTAGCTAGGTTAACTTTGCACGTAATGTCATTGTTATGTATGGACAATTTGTCGATCATAATTAATAATATGGTTTAATGTGAGTATGATGCTATTTGATCACACTAAGAATTTCAGAAAAGTTGGTAGACCGGTCGAGTGGGATGTGATTGGAACTGAGGTGTATGATCAAATTCGACATATTTCTTGGTGTGAATGTGCCCTAATTAGTTCTCGATCGGTTGCTTTTTCTAATAGTAATAACAATAATGAATGTGCCCTAAGTAGTTCTTGATTATAGGAACATAAACCCTTATGGTTGCTATATTAATTAAATTAGTTCATGAATCTTTGTACCAAACATGATTCTTTTGGCTTAACTTGTATTTAAGTTTTTATTGATTCTTTTGTAATTTATAAACAGAATAGACACGTAATGTCTAGCATGTATTTGTATTATGTTGTTATGCTAATATATGAAAAGGAAAAGAAAAGATCTTATTTCCGTTCTCATTTATGGCCTGCTAGAAGTTTTGGTATTCGAATTTTTCTATTAGCATATGGGTCCATGTGAAAATTTTATTATAGTGTATTCTACATATTGAGATTATTGATCGTTAGATTTGGTTATTACATCTTTAACTTAAGATTTAACAGTAAAAAATCTGATGTTTTGAAATTAAGATATCTGAAAACATACTAGAAAATTCTGAGTCAATAACCATTAACATCCCTAATTCAATCTTTGTGACAATTTGACATGACAAAAGAAACCTGGCTGAAAAGATCTGAGATGTATGGAGAAATTTTCCATTTCAAATTATTTCAATGCTCTCTTGACGTATTCAACTTTATAAGTTGTAGTCTACCATCAAAGAAAGAAATAAAGGATTTAAGGAACCACGGGACATAATAGCAAACATTTTGATTGATGATAGTTTTATTGAGTGACTACATGTTTTCATTTTATGTTCAGTAATGATGACCTTTTTTTTTTCTTGATTCCGATTTAAAAGTTTTGGCAAGATTTTTTTTTAAAGGTTTTTTTTATTATATTTATATCTTTTATTTCTTTGTGCGTATTTTTTCGCGAATATCATAATGAATTCATTTTATTTAAAAAAAAAGAAATAAAGAGAAAGAAAAGCAAATCTTTAATGCTAAAGAAAGCAAGAAATAAAAGGAGAAGTGATACTTTCCAACTCTTACAAACCGACTATTCATTTATTTTGCGTAATCTGACAATGATATTTTCGGAAGTACTGCAGGACTATTTCTTATGATTTTGAAATATTAAAGTTTGCTGTGCCCACTGCTCCACTGCCCTAATTTGTTAATAAAAACAGTACCTTAAAAACAAAGTGACAAAACAAAAGCAAAACAAACCTAATTGCGTGAGTAAGACCTACATAGGCAGAAAAATATACTAGCTACTTAGCTATTTAGAGCGCTTCAACAATATGCATTTCCAGACTTTAGAAAACCTTTTGAATAAAACTATTTGTATCACCTTAAGTATTAACTTACAATTATGTGTATTTTTTTTTATAAAGATATTGCAGAGTTTCGAATTCTTTGGATCCAGTATACTATTTCTACTAATAATTTTATTCTCACCTTCACTACTGAGCTAATCCTAGCCCAATAACTCATGTTTACTGTCTTTCTAATTAATATATTAAAATCATTTATTTGAATCTCGTGAATTAAATATCTAGAAAATGAGAGACGCGAGATGTTATAAATAATTGTATCTAGCTATTTCACTTCATGTTGCCCCTTTGATGCAATTATGATCAAAACGACTAACAAACATCGGATCATAATCATGTTGTTTATGTTCCTATAATCTCGTATCAACTACCAAAAGTACTTGCCTTGATCAATGATCAGTCCCCTTCTTTTATGCTTTGTTAATTTTATCCAAAAATAATAATAGTCAGTTCTGCATTTGCTCCAATGATCTGCCGGAGAAATTGACAGGGATAGCTTTAGGTTGTGTGCTTGATGACGACGATGATAACTTTAGATAATGGTTAAATTATATCATCAAAATGGAAAAACTGGAATTGATATACCACTAGATTTAGTGTTAGGCGTAGCATCATATATATAAGCTAATGTGGACTGAGATGATGATTGTTCAGTATTAATTTATGAGCACTTTTGCTTATCGTTCCGTGTTAGGTTGGTTCACGAGGGTGAAGGAGACAAATCTAATTCGTAATCTCGGAAAAAAGATATTGTTCTTTTCTTGTCTCGGCCTAGCTACAGAAACAAAAGAATATATATAACTCCAAAAGAGTGTGGGTGCATATCATGGATCCATAACTTCACCAAGTGGTAACCTCTTGGACAATGATTAAAAAGGGCCTGCATAGTGTTCATGGCTGCGCTATTTGATTGCTTGAACAGAAAAATATAAGGGGATTATATTCACACATCCCAAATTACTTCTTCCACATCTTTTTAATTTTTTAATATTTTTCTATCAAGTGTTGGTGGTGTGTAGAAAATATTAAAAAAATTTAAAAAGTATGGGAGAAGTAATTTGGGGTGTGTAAATATAATCTCTCAAAATATAAATCCGTGTTGTATCTATAAGACGTTCAAACGTGTTAACTGACTATTAGTCCGATAATATTTCTCTTAATATTTATTTCATTGTTTGCTGTAATGATATGAGAAGGGCGGTGAGTGAAATTCCTTTTTTATGTAAGAACATCATGGGATTCTTGTTTAGAAGATGCTTAGCTGCTTTAAGAAGAATCTATTTACCTTCTTTGTTTTCTGTTTGCAAATGAATAATGCTTGCATTCTCTTTTTAGCAATGAACTTATTCTTTCACTAGCAAATAACGTATCTTTACAGTAGAAATTATCTTTTGTGTCTATAGTCTGACACACATGCAAAATTAATGCATTAAAATCACAAAAAGAAAAGGTTTGTTAGAACATGTAAGTGTGAGTTGTATGCAAACAAGAATCTCATTGTATATATGTAAGAAGTTAAGTATTTTCATGCTTAGAAATTGTTTAACACAAGTCTTGCTTCAAAGTTCATCTATCACCTTGTTATATAGACCCTGTCACTTTTCAGCTGAATATGGTTTGCAATTGAGCTATTTAAAGCTTCAACTCAAGTGATCTAGGAATAGTGAGACTACTACTACATGTTGGGTTTAGACTTTGTTTCACAATATTGCAAACCTTTTGAAATTTGTATAACTGCATAATATACTGTATAGAAATTTATAACCATACCTAATAGCCCAGACACTTGGAATTAAAAGTTAGATTGTTTAAAGCCCACAACACTAACTAGGCCTGATTTTTGGCCAAATCGGATCAGAAATACATGTTTTTAATTTGAAAGAAAAAAGTTTCGGAAATGCATGTTATTTCTAATTTTGAAATTTCATAAACTCATACCAAATTCAGTATTTCCGGAATCAGATTATTTTAGAGTTTCAAAATTATAGGAGTTGTATGACTTCATCTATACCAAGATAAAAAAAAAAAAATGTCATCACCATGGCTCACCCTACATAATATAAAGTTTCATAGTTCTCAAATTCTCATTTTTTGTATGTAATATATTCGAAGGAGTTATAATTGAAAAAATAATTACATATTGGAGTACAGTGTATTACAAATCCAAAGTCAGTAAGTACATAATTAAGTGTATATAACAGAGCTATGAAAGTTTCAGAATTTTGTATCGAATTCGGAATATTAAATACATTCCAATTCCTATCCAAAATTTAAGAATTTTAGTTACAGTATATGAATGGGACGGAATATTTTAGAATATTTCGGCTTGAAATCGGAGATTCGTATCCAAGTTGCAGCCCTACCAATAACCCATGTCGCTTACCTTTATTGTTATTCATAGGTGGATATTTAGAATGACGAGTCATCGGCTCAATGTTCTTTGAGAACAATATTACGGTGATGATATCCAGTATTTGGTAGTGAGCTTTATTTTTAGTGGTCACTTGTAGCTTCTCTCTTAGTCTTCATTTATCCTGCAATTTTCATGACAACACGATCAAGAAACTTATTTTCATTCTATTTTGCTTCAGATTGGAAATGTACATCCCATCGGAGTAACAAAGTTGAAGATGTTATGTAGGAATTGATGAAGACGTGAATTAGTTCAATTGTATGTGGTTCAGTTAAATATCTTTATACTAAGGTCATCTCCAACTGAAGGGTTCAGAGGGCCAGAAGGTCGAAAATAACCCAAAAACCGTCTCCAACCGAGGGTTAGGCCAAAGGGCTCGTGGGCCCCACATGACAAAAAATGGCCAAAGGGCCAACCCGCTGGCTAGCCACTTTAGGGTGCGTTTGTTGCATCGGACTATCTCGGACTGGACTAGCTTTAGGGACTAAGTTGGACTGGCTTATACTAGACTAAGCAGGACTAACTTAGTGAAGCGTTTGGTGCAGTATCGAATTAGAAGTAGGATAATAAAAATAATAAAATTAATTCTTTTTTTTTTCTTTTTCTATTTCTTTTTCCTGCCTGAAACCTCTGTTCTGTCTATTTTTTTCCGTCCAAACTCCATAGATTCCAATCACAACTTTTTTTCATTTCAATTGATAAAGCTCTCCATCCAAATTCCACTACTTGCAACCACATCTTTCTCCTCCATTTGAATCGATAAAGCTCCCAAAACATAAACAATCAAAAATTGAATTTCAATCGACATCGAAATCGAAATCGCAGCTGCGTTCCTTGTATACCCAACAACGACACTCTGATTCGAGCAGGACGAGGAAAGAGTGGGAAAGGACATGATCTGGGTTGGGTCTTGCAGATCGGCTCGACATCGAGGTTGGGTCATGCAGATCGGCTTGGCATCTAGCAGGACTGTCAGGATTTGACGGCAAGGTCCATGCGGGGATGTCAGTGCAAAGATATAGCAAGGGAGAGAGAGGAAGATCCATGCAGGGAAGGATTGTGAGGATTTGACGGCAAGGTCATGGAGCAGACGACGCGAAGAGCGAACGTCTTAGCAGTCCGCTTCATTTTGGGGGGTCTCACTAAGACCCTCTAGCGAGCTCTCTAGTCGGAACGAGTCCTCTTTAGTCCTACTTAACTT